TTCAAATACCTATCTGGAGATTTCTCAGTTTTATGATTCAATGTGGCAAAAAGAATATGTATCGGTTACTTCAGCAGATCCCTCTCGCAGTCTGATTCGGTTTTTGGTATTTTTACAATAACATCTTCCTATTTGTTTAATTAAGAGTAAACGAAAACCGAATATAAATTTACATTTTCCTGGGCAAATTAACTCCCGAAAAGTGTTAACAGAACCTCAAAATGTGAATTGCCAGACCTGTTTGCTGGGGGGGGGGGGTTCAAATTATTTAAATCCGGTAGACATTTTACTGGCAGCGAGGGGAAAATGTTATTCCTTGAATTGCTTTTGCAAATTGAGTTTTAACCACGTTCGTGAAGGATAAGTCACTCTCTATCTGTCTCTCTCTATCTGTCTCTCTCAATCTGTCTCTCTCTATCTGTCTCTCTCAATCTGTTTCTCTCTATCTGTCTTTCTCTATCGGTCTCTCTCTATCTGTCTCTGATTGATCAAATCGACGGTGTTTCTACCAAGACCATGTGTGAGTCGAAGCTTTCCGGCACATCGCCGATCAGGAATATTTCACCGCCCTTCTCGAAGTCTTCAGAAGCTTAATCAGAGAGAAAAGTTAATAATATGCAGAACATAAATTTAATGCAACGAACAGTTGAAAATTCAAGAATTCAGATCATGTATTCTCAGACAAACGTATACAAACCATAATATAACTCATGCAACTTGTTGAGTTGAATTTTGAATACTGCAGGTTAAGCATTATTTATTCTTCGAATGATTGAAAAGGGTATCAGTCATATTCGTGCCTGAAACACAATACCGATATTTTTTTATTTTTTTTTTGCCCTTTCAGGGCCGAATTACTCTTCCCGTTCTGGACCTACCTTGTAATACAGGCTGCCCGCCCATTGTCAGGATCTGATTGGGTCGGGTAGATTAAAGGCTGCTTCAGTGCACTCTACGTATCGACCTCTCCCTTGTTGTGTCAAATGTGATCCATAAGTTAATGAAAAGAAAACTTTGACCGGCGTGAGGTATTGTTTTACACAAAACTTGTCATTAGCAGCACAGCCATGTATTCAATAATGGCTTCAGGTCCTGACTGCCACATATCGCATTTGTTGTGTTAAGAGGTTCTTCAATCCTACAGACGCCTCTTCAAGTCTATACAGTCCATTTCCGCATTCCGCGTGAAAAGAAAACAATGAATTCTTACCTTGTTACTCGTTGGCTACATGCCTTGTAATAACCTGTTCACTTCCGGTGGGGATGCAACCGGTTCCACTTGCTACCTTGAAAAACAAACGCTTTGGATTCTGAAGGTCCAAGTCAAATTCATTCGAATCCCATCAAATTGTGCCAAAACGACAGCAACCCCCCCCCCAGGAAACTCTGGTTGGGAATCCAATTAATTCGATCGGCGGTGTGTTCTGGGTATAAAGTAGCAAAAAGATCTGCACGTCAAAATACATCATGATTTCCTTCCAGAAACCACCATCATCGTACAGCTTTTCGTGTGGTGTTTACTGCTAAACCATGTGTGTTACGAATCAGGCGCTCATCAATTTTTGCGCATCGGGAGTTATATATTATCTTGAAGGTTGTACATTTGACTTTGTTTCTATGAAAATGATACACATCTACAGTATATAGAAGTTGAGATATTTGCGATTGAAAGAGGTCACGGACGCCTGGTTTTAGCGGTAAAACTATCGAGAAAATTGCCGCCAACGATTGTTGATTTCCAAAGCTTGAGAATCCTTGAAAACAGAAAATTTATATCTGTTAATCAATGTTTTTCAGTAAAATCCACATAGAAATATCATTTTAAAAGGACTTAAAAGGTGTTGAGTCAACAAACGAAATTTAGAAAACAAATTGTCAAACTGGTGGAGAAATTCCAAGGTCTTTGATTTCTTTATTTTGACGAGCGCCTGATTTCACCATGATGCCTCACATATCTCGTCAGGATCTTTTGTAATTTGTGACACTGTCTTAATATCTTTAACATTTTATATTAATTGCTTTTTAAAAATCGTGACATTATTTACGGCGACCTTGAAAGGCTTATTTCTAGCTCTCCACAATGTTCAAGAGTAAGATGTGTAGGTAGGGAGGGGGATATTAATACATTACCTTAGACCTTTTCTCGTAGCCTTTCCTGAATGTCTCATAAGTTACCTGTTCCACGAGTACACGGAAGACTCGTAAGGCGGTCTTCAAGTAGGGAACTGAGCGTTGTATTACGATAAAAATAGACTTAATGAACGACAGCGGATGACTTCCTACTCCCTACAAACGCCTCAGCTTAACTCATGCGCATAGAAACGAGGTCAGTGTCTGGTCAGCTTGTGTCCTCGTCAAAGGACGTCACCGAAAAAGGAGTCAATCATGTGTTGGACAATTGCACAGAGCAGGGAGGAAAATTGCCTCTAACCTATAACCAAAACGTACATTTCCCGTAGGCGTTACAGCTTATAACATAGATAGGAGAGAAGTATTGTGCATGATATTAATCAAGGATTTCAACCCAGAAGAAAGAGAGGTTCCGGCTTTTAGAGACAGTTGGCTGGTGCCAGGCCACGATCCGAGAGTCAAACTTCCTTTTTAAAAATCTTTTATGAAGGGCCGTCTTATTCATGAGAAAGGATTTTTTGTTCCAAATATATTTGTTTGTTTCAAAGTATTTGGACTGAAAGATGGCTGTGTCTTAATATTTTGCAGAGATTTCATTTGACACGAGGTTTTTGGAATGATATTGATGTGTGTATTATTTATAATGTATGCTATCTTGTTTGGAGAGGGGGGTATCTTGCAATTATAAAATGTGTTTTTGCTGTTTTTTGTTGTTAGTTAATGGTTTTAAATACCAAACAAAATGCATTCCTATCTTTTGTCGGGAAGAATTGTATTTCTCACATAAAAATTATATTTATTTTACAACACTGTTCGTAGACTTCCGTACTTTCAATTGATGTAAAGGTAAAGGGAAACCTTGTTGGGCACCAATAATGGAGCATTGCTTGGCTCTAAAAGTATACGAAATGTCTTTAAAAATCTAGTTTCAACTGTAACTTTATCTCATCTGTATAAAAGAATTCATATATTTGACATAACCTTTATCGTGGGCTCCTTGATCTGCATTAGTTATGTGATCGTATCTTTTACGGCCCCATCCACCCAGTTGAGATCATTAAGGATGTATGTTGTTTCGGTCCTGTTTGTCAGAGCCGTCCAAGGCTGACTGGTGCTTCCCAGCAGAAATACGGCATACTTAAGACAGTTACTACTAGGAAAACGAACTCACTATTTTAGTGTACGAGCTCAAGAGCGTGATTTTTTTACCACAGAATATGGTCACCTGTCTATGCCATCTTTTCTCCATAAATACCCTGTTTTCGGGGTTCCCTGTCCTGATTTTGGTTCCGATATTTGTAGGTTACGTAAAAATGTATTGACATTGTGCAAATTGGTATGTTTTTTTAAAAAAACAAGAATGTTTAGTCGGTGATGAAGGTGGAAATAACGTGCAGTGCTAAGTGGATCCCCGCCAGGCTGTCCTGGGTTTTCGAACTGTTATTTTTTTTGGAGTCGATCTGACGACCGAGTGTCCAGTCTGGTGGTATGCATACCTTCGAAACTTATGGTGTGTGTAGGTGCAAGAAATGATAACTTATGCGACAGGGTCCATCAAATTTGCTATCCCACAATTACAAAGTTCTATCTGCTCAGTACCTAGTTTAGGGTAATGTGACGCCAAAAACTTTAAGTTTCAAATCATGCCAAGCTTTTTCGAATACAATTCTTTGTATATCTTAATAACGACTCCGAATAATCTTGCAATTCTGAAAGAGCAGGAAGAACATTAATCGGTTTCTGACCTCATGGTCTTAATAACGCAAAAAGGCAAAAATGTCAGATAAAACTTAATAATTCTAGGGGGGTAAAATGTTGAAGGTAAACAGATGAAATTCATGTAGATTGTAGTCTTTTCGTTTCCGTATACTCTCCTGACATTGTTATTGACTTTATGTAACCTTCCCCGGCGGATTGCTTTGCTTAATAATGGCTGAAGAAAAGAGTTATCAAAAGTCATTGTAAAACAACTGTGTGTTTTGTGAGCGATTCTGGCTTACCGTTGGCCGAAGAAAATAGTTATTAAGAAATTACTATAAAATTAAATGTGTGTTGTAAACAATTTAAGTTGACTGTGGTCCTTCTTTCGAAGTGTGTGTGGTTATTTCTTTCGAAGCACTAAATGATCTCTATCGGGGTTTTATTTTTTTCCATTTTTCTCTTCGTCACCGTTTGACTTAGATGACTGGGTGTCTTTATATTCAGAGTTTTGGCCTTAACAAATTATCCAAACTTGCATGAATATCATCCTGAGGTCCTGCAGTTTTGTTTTGTTCTCTTTTTGCTAAGTTTTGTTAGGTTGTTTTTAATCATTTTATTGAAACGACCTGAAGGTTACTCGGTTCTTTTTTTCATTATAATATTACAACCGTCATAATTATTATCATCATTGAAATTGTTTGGGGTTCTTTTCTTTATCATCATTATTATTAATACATTTGTATTACTACATGTATAATTAGTATCATTATTATTATTATTATTATTATTATTATTATTATTATTATTATTATTATTAT